TTTTTAGGACAGCCATTTGTTACAGCAGCTGCAGACTTTTTTTTTTTTCAGTTCAGGATCACACACCGGAGGGGGGGAAAAAAATACAGGATTCGGGTGGAGGGAAGGAAGAAAAAAATGGAGGATGAGCTAAAAGAAAGAGAGGGAGCGAAGTCGCAATGGGGGACACAGAATATTTCTATTTCGGGGGAGAAGAGGAAAAAAAAGTGGGGGGGGAGAGAAAGGCTGCCCAGAGCTTCCTTAATTAAGAACATCTTTTTTGGGGGGGGGGAGAGATAAGGAAGCTGCAAAGCTGGTGCAGCAGATTCCTTAGTCCGTCCACCCACCTCCCCAAATTGGAGACCCCACATTTCACCACGGAAGGAGGGGAGGGGGGGAGCGAAGGGGAAAAACAAAACTTGGGTTGGTTCCTTCCCCCTTCACCTCTGGGGGAAACTGAGGAACGATGGGGCCTTTGCTTTTGAGGGGTGGGGGAGGTGGTGGGAGGTGGGGGTGTCTTTCTCCAAGGATTCCCCCCCCTCCCCACTTGCAGGGGGCTCTTTCCAAAGCCACCCCCCACCCCCACCCCCACCCCCTTCTCAAGTTTTTAAAACTACCCGATAAACCAGTTCATGATTATTCCAGTGCATTCGAAGAGCTCAGTGTTTCGGCTTTTTGGGGAGGGAAGGGGTGAGGATGATGGTAATAATAATAATAATAATAACAATATTATTATAATAATAATAAAACACAATCAGTAAGCTTGGAACGCAGACATCAAGCTGACTTGGCAAGTTCCTTCATAAGATACGAGTAACAGTGATTATAGCCATGACACAAGGGGAGTAATTTTGTTGTTGGTGGTGGTGTGGATTTTGTTAATGGCTGGGTCTTCGTGTGCCGGAGAAGATTATTCGGGCTTTTTCTTCACGGTGCCGGGCAGCTTCGCTTGGATCCTGGGGGAAAGAAAGAGAGAACGAAAGGCCCTGAGAACGGAGGAGCAGAGCCACGGAAAACTCCCCGGTGGGTTCTGGCTGCAGCCGATTTTCAATTCTTTTTTTAAGAACGGAGATT